GAGTGCTGTATGCTAAACCACAACTAACTAGAAAGAGCATAATTGCCAGCCGTTGGGTAAACATGTTAAGACTAATCTGTTGTTCATTAAGCGTTTTAGAGTCCTGTAAGAGTCATTTTTAAACATAACCTGATTTTGTATCTGATCATTAAATCTGGAAATGTCATTTTAATGTTACTTCGAATTCCCAAATGAAAATGCTGTAATGTTTCACTATTGCATGCTCAGAAAACGCTTCTGCTTGCCTGTAGATACCTGCAGCAGTACAGCATCCTCCCTCCGTTTACTACCAGGTTTGGTGTATTGGAACAGTCTGTGTAAAACCCTTCAATCTGCACCTTTAAGAAACAACTTAAACACACAGCAGAGCCTCCACCAAATGAAACACATCGTCTCACGCAAGCACTCCATCACTCACACTACCCTTCATCATAATGCACATTTAATTCAAACCAGGAGGAGAGCTGTCAGAGAGCACCTCCGAACAGCACAGCCAGCTTGACTACTTGATTTGAGAAATCAGAAATCAGTTGAGCTGTTTGGATCATGTACATCATTCTGTGCATTCTCTCTTGTGAAAGCTACAAAACTAGCAGTCAGTACTTCCAACATCAGTTCTTAGCAGCCCTTTCTGAACGTGTGATGCTGAAGGGATGCTGCGTCCACATGCGCTTGATTAATGGGTGAACACTCACCTTCATGATGGACTCTGAGTGTCGCTGCGCAGCGTGTGAAGCTCAACCCCAGGCTCTGATCAGGGACGGATGCAGCCCTTTATTGATTGTGAAATGTGTCGGACTGAAAGGCACAGTTTTCCAGCTGCTCCTCACTCCACCCTCTGCATGAGGATGATCGCTCCATCCCTGCGGTGTGAGATGCAACCTCTTCATCCTCTCCAGCCAATGAGAGACCAGCTGCGCTCTAACTCCACCTACAAGCACAGACCCACAACAAGAACCTGAAAAACACTCATTCAGAATATGAGTTAAGCACACATTCACGCACACACTGATTAATCAATCATAAGAGTTGATTTAAACTAAAAACTGAAAATCTGTGCAAAGTAAGTACACAGGAACACCTATTACATTAAAACAAAAAATAGTATTAATTTAATCCACTAAAGTAAGAAAACTATGGTTGCTATCAACATAACAAACATGCATAAAACCAAAGCACTGATTAAAGACACCTGATTTCAAATCTGTTTGGCGAGAGATGCACACAATCAGGACTAATGTTTGATCACACAGAATGACTGCAGTCATGCAAAACATCTCCTATTCAGCGTTTTACATCATGTGATGCGATTTATTCTTATTTCCAGAGGGGAGCGCTGTTTGATCTGTCTTCAACAGATAACACACA